AGAGAGAGAGAGAGAGAGAGAGAGAGAGAGAGAGAGAGCAATCTGAAGGGATACAGAATGAGCAAACATTTTGCGCACGCCAAATGGAGCACTCCTGACCATGGGTAAATAAATCAAATGAAAAATAGGAAAAAGTGTCACAAACAGCATCATGTACATGTTACTAGTGGGACTCTGGGGAAGATTGAAGAATACCAGACCACTCATATTATTGCGCAAGAATTGGGGGGTGGGTGGGGGGAGTGCTGAGGAAGGGATTAGGGGAGGGCCTGACAAACTTTTAAGGAATAGATCTAGGCTACCAGTTGGAGATTCTTCATTGAGAGAGATTAAAAACTGTGGAAAATCATGAATCCCTAAGTTGTCAAGACTTCTAAGGCAAAAAGTCCTTCTGCTGGTCTGGTATTCTTCAATTTTACCTGTTACTAATACACTCTCCGGGCCTCTTTCACCTCAAGATATGTCACATTGTTAGCAAGAGGTGGATTTGTCTTTAAGACACAACGGAGACCATGCCTTCTCAGCTTAGATTTTAGAAAGTAATTAAAAGGTCCAATGAAAGAACATAATATATAATTACAAAACAAGCACTACTAATCAAATACAGATGATTTTATATCTACTAAAACTCTGTAACACAATTATTTTATAAAGGCCTTTCATAAACATAATATTTAATATTATAATTTATTCTGAATAGCAGATGGCAGTCGAAAAATTAGATTTTGACTTGTACGTATAGGCCTAAAGTTAAAAGGATCAGATGATACTGGGGAGACCAAACACAGGGAAGATAACTTGTAATTTTGTGGGCAAATAATAAATGTTCTAGGGGAAATTTTATATATGCAACTGTGGGCCCATACGCACTCCGTTTTTTAAATAACCAAAACAGTAAATCATAACTACAACTACAGCCTCTTAAATTCATCTCTGTCCAGGTTTACACTATACTTCCACATATTAAACTTGTAAGTCTGAATTTGATTATAATATAGCCTAGATCTAGAATAGATTTCTATATCTAGATCTATAGTAGATCTAGATATGCCTTTGTTTGATTTGTAATAAATGAATTGAAATTGAATGAGTAGATCTACCCTTTAACACCCATAAAGACAACACAAAATTGAAATTTTGTAGCCTAATAATCGGTTATGATTTAATTTAGGTTAGGGCTAGGGTTTCGTTAATTTAGTAATGGCAGTGTCAATTGCCACCGAGTGAAGCGCTGACAATTGACAAAAAATGACTTTTTGTCAATTGCCACCGAGTGAAGCGGTGTCAAGTCTGAAAACAACACTATCTTTAGTATTATACATAATGTGTCCCATGGGTCAATTTGTTCTCAATTAATTTCATTGGACGAGCACCTAGTCTAGAGCTACGGTACCAACTTGGCGTGTTTTTAAATGAGACGTATCTAGATCAAGGCTATGCCTACACTTTGGTGAAGAGCGAACACAGGCAATTCTAGAAGTAGGCCTAGAAGGTCACAAACGCACACAAACTCAAGCAGAAATCCACGTTATATCGGGGAACATAAATCGGGGGACGGGGGTCAGGAAAACACACACACACACACTCAAACACACAGAGAGAGAGAGGCGAGCGCACAACACCGAGCACTCGAGCACAATAAGTCAATAAGCTAGATCTACCCACAAACGCAAAAGAGCTCCAATTTACTCGGTGGCAATTGACAAAAAGTCAATTTTTGTCAATTGCCACCGCGTCACTCGGTGGCAATTGACACTACCTTTAGTAATAGTAATATATATTAAAATCTAGAATCTAGTCTAGATCTATATAAAAGATGGCCACCTCTATTCTCACCCGGAGTGAGAATAGTGCAGGCGAGTCTTGTGGCTATTCTCACCCGGTGCGCGTTCACCAAATTTTGCGTTCACCCTAAACCACAGAATTCTACACTGTGATAACAGAAAAATTGTAGAATTCTGTGCCGTGAACAAACGTTCCATTACAACTGTAGCCTACTAAAAGCGTACAATTTTGTCTGTGGCGTGGGCAGTGGAGAGAGAGAGAGAAAGAGAGAGAGGAGTAGCGCGAGAATTTCCGGGCAAAACAAAATGGCGACCCGCGTAGTTCGGCTCGATTCGAAAAGTTAAATAGCCGTAGCATCTTTGTAGACAACCAAATTAATTTACTTTTGTTGTTTTAACATCATTTTTTACCTTTGTTTTGGTCAATTTGATCGTCCACACCGATAGACAGTATTCAGAAAGAGACGGAGAGAGAGAGAAGAGGGGCGAGGAGTTGATCTTGCGAGAACTTCCGGGCGGGTGAGAATAGCCACTTTCATAAAAGATTCCACCCACAGCCCAGCCGCTTATTTATGATGAAAAGTGGAAAGATGAGCCTTGGTCGGTGCTTGGTTAACACTTTTTTTTGTGCCAAACGGCCAAACGAAACGTCCAGCGGAAGGACGCAAGACAGCTTCGTTCATAATTCTATATCTAGTCTAGAGTCTACTGTCTTCCTATAATAAGAACATATAATTGATCTTGCTTTGTAGTGTGACCAAGAACACATTGATATAAAATTTAGACAGTGAGAGAGGAATTAGACATGTGACGACGAAAATTGTGAAGGTGGAAAGCAACAACATTACAACAACAACATTACAAGCTGTATTTCAAATTAGTGAGGAATACGGAATTCTCAAAGCAACTGGCAACTGCGTGGGCGACCAGAAGGCAAATTTATCTTTACGATTATAAATAAAAAGGACGTGTACTTACCACTGTCAGAGGCTTCAGGCGCTTAGTCTTCGTCATTTTGTTGATTACGGAAACTGAACGCGAATATGTAATCGAGAACAAAGGCAGTGTCTACAACGTGTTGTCGTGTCTCGAACTCCCCAGCTGACTGCCAGATCTCCCTTGTTTACGAAGTGATACTATTTTAGGACATTATAAATTCGCCCATGTGACTTTTCCTCTTGCACAGCCCATTGGCTTCTGTCAGCCAATCACAGGAGGTGTAACAATCAACACTGAAGAGAAAGTGTGTTGATATTGCCAGGTGGAAATTTGCCAAGAAAAATATATATGACTTAGATTTTTAATACTTTTAGGGGAAAAAACTGCACGCAATCTGAAAACCTTAGAAATTAGATGTGTAAATAAACAGACGGGAAAATTTCCTACAGAAATAGTTTCTTTGAAATTTTTCATTAAGCCAAGCCATTTGTTGCATCTCACGGGGGCGCACAACTGGCTTTTAGGGGGCGCTGGAAGTGTAAAATACGGAAGTAAAAATAATGTGTGTTTTCTCTACTGCTAGAGAGAGTGATTTCTTCAGGACGTGATGGATTTTCATAATATCTTTTCACTGTAGACAGAAAATACCAAAGCGTGGATAAAAATGGGAAAAGATCAAGATTTATTGGAAGCATGCAGAACGGGAAATGTTGCTGCAATCGAAAAGCTGCTGGCAGGCCGTCTTGGTTCAAAGGGAAGGGGATCGAAAGCCGCAGGAGGAGGGGCACTTTCATCCATTTCCAAAAGGTTTTAAAAATAACTTTCTTATGACTGCACTTGATCTTAGATCTATCTTGATCTAGATCTAGATCTAGAGTCTAGATCTATATCTATCTGTTCTTCCTAGAATGTTGGACAATGTCTCTTCCAAAATATATTCAATGTGGTTTAACAGTTTCTTTTGTTTTATTTATATGAAAGAAAATAAGTTGTGCGTGCAGCAAAGAGAGTGAGTGTCACTGTCAGTGTATTCTGCGACTAGATCTAGATGTAAATATTAGATCCTAGATTCTAGATATAGATCTAGATCTAAAAGAAGAATAGATTAAGATCTAGATCTAGAATCTAGATTAGATCTAGATTATATAGATCTAGAAATCTAGTAGTAGAGTCTAGTACCTAGGCTACGCATAAAAAATATAATAATAAAATAGTATGAAATTAGGCGATTGTTAAGATTCCCGTGTTTTAATTCCAATGAGCGTTTTTCAGGGTTAGGGTCAGGGTTAGAGACCAAAGCGAAACATGCCTGAGGCTATGAAAAATGCACATCGGAATTAAACGTGGGAATCTAAACTATCGCCTGGAATTAGGGTATTCACTGGACCTCAGCAGATACGTAAAACAGTGCTAGAAACAGGAAATTATGGTATTTTTATATATCTGCGAACTGTAAAGTACAGTCTAAGTCTTAATCTGTTGTCTGTTGTCCAATACAATGCATTCGCTTTGTTGGAAAATGGGGGTTGCTGTTGAATTTTATAATATCTCTTTAGAATCTAGATCTAGATCTAATTCTAAATGTTGTGTTTACCCTTCTAGAAAAAAACAACATGCATGCATTTAATATATTAGGTTCCCAGACTCTAAATGATTTAAGACTGTACGTTTTAGATGTTTATAATGACTGAGTTCAAGTTCATGGCTCTGCAGATCTTCTTTCAATCGAGAATGAGAGTCTGATATGGTCCTGACATTGCCTTGTGGCAAGACAGTAGTTAATACAGTGGTGTCCACTTATTTAAACAGAAACCCTGGTAAGAGCAACCTCTGCCTAGTTACAGCACCGTAAGCTTCTTGTGTAATGGTATAGCTCCTTTAATTTTAATAGAGCAAATTTTCCTGTAGCAAGTAGACAAATTTTTAAAAAAAGTTTCTGAAAGCTGTGAACTCGCCTATAATTTCAGTGTGTGTGTGTGCATTCCCTCTTGTTTTTCTCTTCAAAACAATTGCTCAGGATTTTAAAAAGTCCTATAGATGCTGAGTACAGGAGCTTTTTTTTTTTTGTTCACACCTTCTTACCAAGAACCACCTTCCTTCATAAGAAGAAGAGGAAAAGTCTCGGCCATTGTGTGCATAAATGTTACCGCCATTGCTTGATCACTGCTGCTTTGATAAGACTTTGTGTCCTCTCTTTCTGGTGTAACATCATCACCCCATCCTGCAGTTAATTAGTACCCCATGCAATGTGTGTGCGTGGGAGGGTGTAGGAGTAGGGTTTCAAAGTCATTAAATCTCCTTGAGTTTTACCCCCCCAAACCCAACCAAAGCTTGCTTCCCAAGGGGATTGCTGTTTAGGTGGACAACACTGTATTCAAGCTTCCTTTTTGAGCTGTTACGTTATTTTTTAAGCCTGCTGTTAGGGCCTTCTCCTCATTCCTAGTGCATGTACCCACTGTAGAAGAAGAAGAAAAGTAACAAAGAGGGAATGATCAGCCCTGGGTTTGGAATAATCGATGAATAAAACTAAATTTTTAATTAAAAAATTAGTGTACTCTCTCACCATCAGACTGCCTGTGATGTTCTCATTTGTCATTGAGACCTAATGATGTAATGTAGGATAGGCCTTGGTAGGGGCGAGCAAAGATTCATGCACCATGTGGGGAAGAAAATACAACTGCAATCTTGCTTATTTCTCATCACCCGTTACCCCTACTAGAATGATCCACACAGCGACAGTGGCACATTACCTGACTGTCCGTCCTGGAATAACATCTCTTAACTTAAAATCTTTCCTGTGATTGGTGATTTGCTATACCAACATATTTAATGAGTTCACTTTCCCCATCTTGCTTTCTTTTTCAATAGGCCTTCATAATGTGGACGCATGAGAAGTGATAGGATAGTACCAACAAGAGAACTGTTTCAAGCAAACAGAAATTATAGTCTTTTTGCTTGTCAAGTGTAGGGGAAGCGCTCACGGTTGTAGGTGGCAGACTTGAATAATATCTGACAGACGCAGAATGTCAATCAACTGCATTTGACTAAGAATAGTTTGGTGGATTCTTTTGAGTAACTTTACATTATAAAAAAGTAACTGTATCTTTGATAATATAAAATGCAGTAAAAAATGTTCCAGGAGTGTAAAAAAGATAGGGGGTAAGCATCATTGGTTGTCAAGTTTGTCTGCTCCTGATCTCTTTTAGTGCTTTATTTTGGTCTTAACCTGATGGGGATGTCGTTTGCTGAACTGAGTGCAAATTAATGGCTGGAGATTTTTGTAATAACTACATGAAGCGTGCTGACAAAATGAGTTATTTCTTGGATTCGAGACCTATATAATTAGATATCACACTTATAGGTGAAGTTTTTACGATTTATAAAAATGAAATAATAAAAGGCATATATGTTTATAATACTGAAAAAAATATGGCATCAATAGAAAATCTACAAATCTGACTCCAGTGTCGATTTTTGGCCGATATCTCCATTTGTGGATTGTGATGAGAAGTAACTCCTTTTGTCAGCACGTCTCACATTTCTTCCTTTCACTCATCATCTCTTTTTTAGAATAATTTTTTAGCTCTTGAACATTGTCTTTTTTATTTGTTGTGACTTCGTGATCAGCATGTTCTCCAAGCCCAAAGAGTTGATGGTAGGGGGCTAATTTAATAGTGTTGGCCTACCTTGATCTGGTCTTGAAAACTCAGCATCACTATACTATGTATTGCAATTGTCTATAAAAGATCTTTAAAAACATATTATATTTTTTTCAGTCTTTGGAGTTTGAAGAGTGCCAATGTTAATTGTGTGGATGCGAGCGGGGACACACCCCTTCATTTGGCAGCTCTGAATGGCCACAAGTAAGTCTTACTTGTTATATATGTCATTTGTGTATGAACCCAAGGTCATGTAGCACAATTTCAAGAAGGATGCTTTTGTTGGTCACTGAAAGATTTTAGTTGATATTGTCAACTGGATTGGCTAAAACTATTCTAAAAAGAAGCAGTAAAATTATTTCTGTTTGAATTAAAATATGTGCAAATGAATTTGTCTTCGAAATATAGAGTATGCAAAAGGCTACAGTGTTGCAGACTATTGTGACTGATTCCTTTTCAGTTTTGTAGAAAGCTAGCAAACAGTATTATTATTTATATTCTATAGCATTTTGAATCCACTTCCCGTTCTTTTCATATGTAAATTAGGAGTCATTCACAGCGCAACTTACAAAAATGTTTTGTTAGATTAAAAATCCAATGGACAAAGCTTTTTTCTGTAGCAATCATGAGCGTCACACGTATTGGTGCTACCGAAAGCTTGTTCATTTGCCTCTCTTTTGATTTAAAAAATACTTGTAGATCCTGAATTGAAGTTGAAATATTTACGATTGAAAACCTGGGGGTCACCTGGTTATATACCGAGGTAAAGTTAGCGAGAAAATGGGCGCCAAAGTTTGGTAACTTCACTTTCTTGAGAGGCCTTGAAAACTGTAATTTTACTTATTATTTTGACCCTTTAATCCACGTTCTTCAGTAAAATTCACGTGGAATGTATTGTTAGACAGACAAAAAAGTTGTTGAGCCAAAACAAAAAAAAATTAAAAGAAAAGTGCCTGTTTGTTGGATTTCATTATATTGATGAACGCCTGATACCACCACGATGCCTCACATACATACTCTCTTTCTTTGGGGATTTGCTGGTTTAGGGATGGCAGCTTTTCCTTTCTCTCCTGTCACCCGTCCTCTTCACTGTACCTCCCCTCTAAGATAAGCCCATCATTTGTTGATGTGCAGCTGCAGAAGGTTTTTGGGTGCTCCTGTGGTATGGCCAGCTGAATTCATCTCATCTTCTTTATGAGTGCAGCCTAGTCTGCTTAATTTTTCAATTATTATTCACTTGAATAATTTTATAGTAAACAAGGGTATACATTGAAATTGCATGTATGTATAATTGAATTAAACCACTGCATCTAAATGGATTTTTCTCAAGTCATGTTGTAGTGGATAAGAAAAGACACCATTGCTTTTTGGCCGGCTAGCAAGACAAAACCCTTAATTCACCAGTCAGGGACGGTAGTTAAGAGTGCTTTTTGCATTTCAGTATTGATGATACCTAGTATTTGTCTTATAAATAATATGCCTTATTAAAGATATAGATATA